CACCTCGATACATGCATCAAATTGGCGGTTTTGAAGAGCGTAATCGTACCGCCGCTAAAGTTCGCCGGAGAAGTATGGGATGGAAATAAGGAGGTAGTGCAAGAACTCGAGGCGGCGCAGATGAAGGCAGCGAAAATCATCCTAGGATGCTCCCAGCGCACAAGTAATGCAGCCGTCAGGGCAGAATTGGGGATCCAATCCCTACGGTCGGGAAGAGACGCGAGGAAGCTGACATGGCAGTATCGCATGTGCGGGATGGGAGGGGAGAGGTTGCCGAGAATTTCATGGGAGGCGAAGTGGGCAAACAACAAGAGGGGTAGACAACCCACGGAATGGGTCAAGGTTGTAGAGGTCGTATGGAAGGGGCTCGACATCGACGAAGATGAAACGCTGGAAACGGAGGGTCTACAGGGGTTCAAGGAGAAGATATCTGTTGCTTGTGCCGAGAGAGAAGAACAGAATCTGAGGAAAGAATCCAAGGATAAGGAGGGTCTAGAAGTGTACGGAATGTTGAAGGAAGGAATAGGGTTCAAGGACTACCTACATGGACCAATGGATGCAGGAACAAAGCTTAAGGTCAAAATCAGGACCGGGGACATCGGCCTTCGAGAACGTCGACGATAGGACGGTAGACGACGACGACGACGACGAGTTTTCAAATGTGATTGCGGCTTCGAATGCGAAGACCGTGTTCATGTAGTCGCGGAATGTCCGTTGTACAAGAAGGAGAGGGAAGTGTACGTGACTGAGCTGGGAAAAATAGATGGAACGTACAGGGAGATGTTTGAGGCATGGAATAGAGAGGAAAGGACGGTAGCTGTACTGGGGCATAGGAGGTGGGTTGAAAAGGCGGGAAGGGATATCGTTAGGATAGACAGACTAGGGAAGACATTTTTGAGCCACCTTTGGCAAAGTAGAAAGGAACGATTGGCCATCGGTGATCAGTCCTATGGGAACAATGCTTCGTCCTCTCGAGGACGCGTGGTCAATGGTCTAACCGCTGAGGCTTGCAATACATAAGAGTACGCCCCCCCTCCCCCAAGGGGGCAACTGCAGAAGCAGAACCCTCTAGCGCGCCCGAAACGCAGTAGGCAGTTGTTCGCCGGAGACATCGGGTGGACCTGGGCCATAATGGGAGCAGCAGCGTTAGCAGGGGAAGGTTTTACGCTTTATTCAGAGCCGAAGTGTAAGTAGCTGTTAGCTCGTGCGCACGCTGCTTTGTAGGACTTTTTTCTCCTGCTTCCGAGTTTGGGCACTCGCAATAAAACTCTGTCGACAGCTGTTGCTTCTTCGATGCATGCCATAAACGACCTCTGTTGCCTACTTTCATTTCATGTTGCATCAGCACCCCCTCAATGAAAGACACAGCTGTGCTCTCACAAGAACACTCTGGAGGGCCCCCTGTTGAAGATGTACAGCAGCAGAGGCCTCTGTATGGTGCCGGCATGCATCCAGAAAAATCACCGGCACTATACAGGACACCGCCACAGGTTGTATGCATCTTATAGTATTAGAGTGAGCACTCTTTTCCAGGGGTTTGGCCGGCACCACGCAGGCACCGTACCTTTTTTCTTTCCGAAGAGTACGTACGTAACATTTTTTTGAACGACGCGTGCGCGGAAACGCGCTTCCTCCCGTCAATCACCGTGTGCACCCCCAGCCGCCCGTATACTGGGACAAGCCTCGGCGGAGCACGTCGGCGAGGAGAGGATGAAAAAGATGGTGATGCTGAAAGACGACTTCCGAGATACCGCCCTCCACCTCAGCGCCTGCCAGGGTGAGGTGGGCATCGTGAAGCTGCTCCTTGCTAGAGGGGCGGACGTCCACGCGCAGAACAACCTCGGAAGCACCCCGCTGAACCGCGCGGCCGTAGCTGGAAGGACCGAGGTACTCCGCACATTTTTTTTTTTTGTCTCCGTCAGAAAATTTCCTCGGACCCAGCACATCTCTAGGGGGGGTAATACGCTTGCGTGTTACGCTACTGCAGCCGAACGTCGGTGAAGGACACACCTGGTTTTTTGCAAAAAAGTTGTGTCCTTTATGCCGGGCTTATGCCCCTCCTTAGGTTGAACATTCTGCGAGCCACCATGCCTGTGAAGAAAAAGTTGTCCTTAACCGATGGAGTCTCCTTAAAATTGTTGTCCTTAAGCGAGGCACTACTGTGATAATGCTGCTGTCGTATGTGCCGTGCTCTTGTTTTTTTTTTCCGGCAGGTAGTCGAGCTCCTTCTGGACGCCGGGGCCAACCTCGAGCACCAGGACGATATCTCGGGCACCCCTCTGCACGGGGCCGCGCGGCGCAACCACTGCTCCACCGTCCGTCTCCTCCTCAACCGCGGTGCCTCCGTGGACGCCGCAGATGGCGTCGGAAACAGGCCGCTGCACTTGGCATCTGCGGAGGGAGCCATCTCCGCACTCGGGGTGTGTATACGTGTTCTCCTTCTGTGTGTGTGTCGATCGCTCTCTATGTTACCAAAACTCATTTTTTTCTTTTGTGTTTTGATCCCTTTTTTGCAGACATTATACAATCACAGATAGACTAGACTACCCGGTGGACATCTAAACACGGTCTTGTGGACAATATGCAAATATTTTGTGTTTACCGGCCGATTGAGATGAACTAAAAAAATTGCGCGAGAGAAGCGATCCTTGCATGAGATGGTTTGTTGAATGATGTGTTGATTGAACATCCTGTATTGTGAGCATCTACCTCGCTTTGTTCCCGAGTCTTGACGATGTCATGCCGGATAGTTCACCTGGGTGGGACACGCTACACCCGATATCAACGATCGACGAAGGATGTTCTTGTCAGCAGCTGAGAAAGTGCCCCAATTTGAGCAGTCATGCCCCAATTACTTGTACCCAACTGCTCCACCGCCCTCCCCTGCTTTGCCCCGCCCCGATGTTTCGGATCGTCAGGTTCTTGTGAATCACTACGCCGACCCGCAGGTGAAGAACATCAGAGGCCAGACGCCGCTGGACGTTGCCCAGGCTTCTTGGATCGGGAATTTCTGCAAGAAGAAGATCGCTCGCCTCCTCTCCACGGAGAGCACCTGAGGGCGTCGGCCGGGCGGGTCTTGCACAGCCAATGGGCACTACTGCTGTCATCTGTTAACAATGGGCAGCAAGCAAGAGAAGGGGGCTGCTGCTGTCATCGGTTACATATACGTGAGGCAGGCGGGAATCGGACAGCAATCAAGAGAGGAGGACTACCTACCGCTGTTATCTGTTACGACGTCGGTATCGCCTGTGTTGAACGCGCTGCGCTGGCAATGCAAGTGCCTCTGAGCACGAGGCGAAATATGTTCTTTTACTCTTTAGTTTCATCTTTCGCCTTCTTTTTTTTACATGCACTTGCCGGACTATGTTTTGGCATGAGAACAAATAACCTTTTTGTTCCTGGTCGGTTCGCCTTTACACATGTGTCGTTGAGAACGATAGATAACAGCTGATTGTTGTCGTTTTCTTTTTTTGCGGGAAGAAAGGCTCGGCGGGAGCTGAGCGGGTTGGTTGTGCGCCGGGCCGACTGCTGACTGACGCAACCTTGAAAACCGGCATGCTGTTGTCTTCTGTTTTTTTCTATCGTGCGAAAGAACGAGATATGTATCTATCTATGCATCCGCGGAACGCGATAATAGCTTTGGTGTCACGAGCAGACGGCCTGACTCCTGTTCGACAAAATCGAATCGGAAGGCAAGGTGTTCGGGTTTTTCTGTCGCAATCATTATATATATTTTGCTATTCGTGCGCCGCCCATCGGGCCAACCTTGTATCGAGTAGACCGTGCGCCTCATGCCACGTGTGTGTCATCTAAAGAAATTAGCAAAGTACGGGTGTGTGTTTATGGGAAAAGAGAAAAAAGACCTTCTCCAAGTGTACATATCGCCACCGGGCGCAACTGCTCCGTTCTTTTTTTTTTTTCAGCGGAACAAACGAACGGGAGGCATCTTGCTCAACCCACTCGTTGAACGTGCGGCCGCAATTGAGCAAATGCCGAAGGGGGGTTAAAGTCGAGGACAAAATCAGGCGTGTACGGTAGTAGCAAGGAGACTCCCACCGTTCTCTTTTTTCTTGTTTCAGCCTACCTCCACGGTCGGATTTTCTACGGAAGCTTGTTTCTTACTTTGTGCTTGGAGGAGGAGTTTTTTTCCTTCTACGAGACGTGCGTACGAAGCGACCGTGCAGAAAAAAGGCGGTGAGAGAGTACCGAGCGGGAAATGTATGCATGCGTTGTTGTCAATTTTCGATTTGTTTATTTATGAACTCATGTATTTCGCTGCACCAAGAGCGGACGGGTAAGAATGTGTAGAGAGCTGTCTTCCCCGTTTTTCTTACAGCAGGGGCCAGGACGGCTGGGCAGTAGCCCGATCGAGGAGGTTCTAATCCTTTTGCGTCTTTCGTTGTTGAGGCTCTTAGTTTCTTACAGTACATTTTTTTTTTCTTGTCTTTCTTTCGAGAGACCCCCGGCATGGTGCTCTCCTGTCTGGAGCTGTACACGCAAAGTCATTGCTTTCTGCTGTTCATCATGGCATGGAGTTGCCCGTAGCGCTGCTCCGTTGTTTTTATTTAGTCTTTGTTTGTGCAGCTCGTCGGGACTCTGAGTGCGTGCCACCACCCCCCTATCGTTTTTTGCCAAAGGAAGAATACGAAGAACACGTTGAGGAAAGGCTTTGGCCGGTGCGGGTGAGGGGGCTAGGTTGTACCCACAGGTGTGCACACAGGGCCGGGGTAACGAATCCCCAACTTGAAAAGCGCACCACACGCATGTTCCCGGTGAAATTCGTCTTGTCACGTATGGGAAAAGTTATCCTTGTGCCCCACGATGATGAGCAACACTTGCTGCTTGCGTTACGGTCAACGGTGGACTTTTTCAGCCCAACTTGAGGTACAGGTAGTTCCTCTCGCACTGTGCTTCGGTGCAGGCTTTTGATCGGTCGGGAGAGGGCGCAGGTCGTGGTTTGCTCTTCAACATGTCGCCGAAACATATGCATAGTACTCCATTGAAACGGTTTGTCCTTTCTCCGAGACTTCCGTTCATGTATACTACTGCGAAGTGAATGCACCCTTCGCTTGGCTGGTAGGTGAAGCCATTGAAAGATGCACTGTTCAGACCTGGCGTGCACACAAGTTCGAGCTCTTAGGTTCCTGGTGAGCTTTTCCAGGGCGAACAAACGGCGTGTCGGAGATTTGGTTGTCATGATTTTCACGGGAAAGGGATATTGCCACATCATCGCGTACACACTGGCCGCTCGTGTGTGGTAACATCAGAGCAAACTTTTCTTCTGATGCCTGCCGAGATTTACTCAGCAATGTGATCTTTTCAAGGGCTTTTATTATGTGCTCGGCTTGGAACTACGACAGGTCCTTACTACCAAAGTTGAGGCCCTGATAGAAGGGCCTGATAGCCCGTCACCGGTTCCTGCAGCTCGATTCTTTCGCCACCAAACATGAGGTACTGCACCACCACCCGAACCCTTGGGAAATGCCGTCATGATCATGCAATAAGAGCGACAAAAGTACGCCCAGCTCCCCCGAAACTCTTCCCACCGCACGCGCACATGAGAAGGAGAGGCAATCCTTCCGTCCCGTCATCAACCTTCAAGCACCGCGGTTGTATGCTTGGGTTGTCGCTCGTCTCTTTTATGTCCCCTTTTCTCGAGACGTCACATCAAATTGATTTCGTTTCTACATCCAGTGTCTCCACACTCCCGCCCCCCTTTCAAGCGCGGACAGAGCTCAATCCATTTCTATGCTGTCTTTTCGCCACCGGAACATCTTCTCCCGTCAGGAAATCGAGATGAGAAACTTGAACCAAATGGGGTCTAGTATACACTGCTGTCGTCGAAAGGGTTACAGTCTACATAGACTACAGATGCGGGGGAGGGGGGGCAGAGCGGGAGATGCACACAAGGACAAATGTACCCATGCACATCAAGTGCTATTGCTGTTGAGGTTGTTGTGTTCGTATCTAAAGTTGCTCTGGCCACTCTTCAATCTATCCGCGGCGTCCTTTCCCATGCTTGTACACATGGAACCAAGGGGCCCCGTTGTCACAAGCTTACAAGGTAAAATACTATACTTCGACGCAAGGGCCGCCAAAAGTAAGTCTCGAGGAAGTACAAGACTGCGAGACCTAAAAGCATCTACAGGGCAAAGGAATCCCCCCCGACATAAATGGGAGTCATCCTCTCATACTGTTGGAAAACTGATTCAAAATACACCAAGCGGATGCCTCAAGTGTAGTTTTATCTGTGGACAAGCCCAACGGCTATCCTGAACTCAAGCAACATAGCGGGGGAGGATAGGAGGCGCGCATCTGCCCTGAAGCCGATCGAATGCGTTTACTGCGACGACGGCTTGCTGCTGGGCGCGCTCCCGACACCAAGGTCGGGACGTTACAAAACTCTCCGATCCGATTCGACCTGGGGGGCAGGGGATGCTCCACCGACGCAGGAAGCAGAACAAGTGCAATCGACACAGCCTGCAACGACACCACTGCCGACAGCTCTGTATCCTCTGGCAACAGAGGAAGAGGGGCAAGCAAGGCGGGCCTGCTTCGCATCCCGTCGCCGCACAATGTTCCCGCTGCAACAACAGCGCCATTGCCGCCGAAGGAGTCGCAGTTGCCCAGGGCGACGCAAGACGGCTCTAGGCTTTTCTTCGCCGGCCATCACGAGGGGAAAGCCACTGTTGTCGCGCGTTCGTCGCCGCCGCCGCCAGCGACACCACCCATCCGGCCACGGCAGCACTCCTGCCGGCGAAAGGGAGCAAAATATCTTTGGAGCCCTGGGCCCATCGCAGCGGGATTCCTCCCTCGCTTCCTCCTCCTGGTTGACGGCAGTCGTGCCGTTTCTCTGGGGTCTTTCTCCTGGGCGCGGCCATACCGTCACCGACCGGACTTCGCGGACCACCGCCGCTCCTGCCGTTGCCGCCGCGCACAGCCTCCGCGTCATCCTCTACTAGCGCCGGCTTTTCCTGCCACCTTGATCGCGGCTGCTGCTGCTGCAGCTGCTGCTGCTGACAACGGCACTCAGGTCGAGCCGTGAAGAGGAGCGGCAACGGAGGATTCGACAGAGTGAAGTTGTTCTGCTGCTCCGACGGTGACAACGACGGCACCGCCACCAAGCTAGTAGCACCGCCGTCGCTGCTGCTCCGCTCGTGGGCGGCAAACAGGCAACCCACCACGAACAGAAGGACCGAAGTGGCCATCAGGGCCCACCCCAAGAAGCTGAAGTGGAGGTACAAGCAGTAGGTGCCCCCCAGCCGATCGGCACTGTCTTGGTCGACCGTGCTCCTACCCGGGAACGGCCAGCAGAAGTGCGTCGCGGGGCGCCAGGGGGCGGCGGCGGGGTTTCCACCGAGGCATCGCCCCCCGTCGGGGCAGACGAAGCCGACACGGAGGTTGGCGACGTCGAAGATGGTCATGTAGGTCTTGATGAAAGCGTCGCCTAGGGTCCAGATGTCGGTCGCCCGCCCTTCGCCGATGAGGACTTCGCAGCCGTCCCAGCTCTGCGACAGGTAGTCGGACGGCTTCAGGCGGAACTCCTGGAACCACCCGGTTCCTCGTCCTCCTCCTCCTCCTCCTCCTCCTCCTCCTCTGCTGCCACCGCCACCGCTACCGCCAACGCCACCCGTCCGCCGCCTGTTGTGTTTCCCTCCGTTGTTGATGATACCGACCTCGCCGTCGCCATGTGCACTCTTCATGGGCCGCCGCCGCGCTGGCGCCCCCCCCCCGTGACCCGGAGGCGGGGCCACAGCAACAGAGACAACGATGTCGGGGAAGTCATCTGGGCTGCCGCACTCGGAGCACGACGTCATCCCGTATCGGTATCGGCAGTCCGCCCTGCCGCCGATGATCTGCTTCATCACCTCGCGGTACTGGCCCCTAGGCGGTACCAGGAGGGATGACCCCGTGTCCACGATGGCCTGGCACCCTTCCGGGCACATCTCGGGACCGGCGGTGATGGTAATCCCCGCCGTCGTCGCCGTGTGACCGCCGCCGTCTTGCCCATCCGCGGCGCTGAGGTTGCTGATGCTGCGTTGCCACCGGCCGCCGGCCATTGCGGCCGTGGAGACGACATCGCTGGTGCTGCTGGTGTTGCTGCCGTCTGTAGCCGTCTCGGTTCGCCACCCCGTGAGCTGCACCGTCCAGTAGCTGAGCGACCCCCGGTACTCTACCACCGGGGTCCAGACGATGACAGGCTCGTCGTCGTCTTCATCATCATCATCGTCGTCGTAGTCACCAACGGCGTTGTGCGCGTGTGCATGCCCTGTATCCTTACGTTCTGTAGTTTCACCCATTTCTTCCGCCGCCGACGCGGCTCCCCTTTGCTTTGCCGCCACCGCGCTACCCTTCTCTCTCCCGTGGCGCCTCTCGGCGAAGCTCCCCTCTGAAGCTAGCTCCGTCCTCCCGGCGGAGGGAGAAGGTGGATCGCCGCCTCCCCTCTCGCCTCCTGCTCCTACTCGCGCCATACCATGGTTAACGCCGCTACTACCCATTTCCCTCACGCCGACTGCAAAGGGACCACCATGGCTCCAATCCGCCTCGCCGCTTGAGCCATTCCCCTCCTGCGAGGCGTTACGACCAGCTTGAGCATGAACTCGAGCTTGAACTTGCTGCTGCTGCTGCTGCTTCAGCACCAGACTTCCTCCGCCGCGAAGCCTCGCCTTTTGCCCCTCGCCTGTTCGCCAGACCTCGTGGTGCGCCCTCCCCACAGCCGGCTGTCTACCGATGGTGTTTCTCGTCTCTCTGCGAGCTTTATCATCGCCGTTTTCCGTTTGTGCAAGAGCCTTCGTCTGCTGTTGGCTGTGTTTCCTGTCCTTCGGTCTCGGTCTACGCACCAGGTCAAGATCGTAGCCTCCGAAAATGACCATGCTACCGGGTTGATTTGGAGACGCTGCGTTGGGCGAGAAACCCAGTAGATGTAGTCAGGTGCGCGCGGGGGGGCGAGGCAGCACACGCGATGCAAGAATAAACCATCATTTCGGGGGGAGTCGAACCGTGCGCAGACGCGACGCAAGACGAAAACGACCATTGCGAATAGATGAGGCGGCGGTACAATAGCAAGTGAAGGCCTGCCGACGGTACGTACACACTACCAGCCCCCTTCCTTTCTTTTTGCTTGAAATGACGGGTATGCTGAACCCTATGTTGCTGTTTGCAAATGAGAAAGTTGCATCAAGGATTCTGAAAGCGTGAACGCAGTGTGGTGCACCGGGTCAGGTCGATCGATCACGTGGCGCTCCCTCGCCGAACCAAAAGTGTGTGACGCGAAATCATCGTTGGTCGACCACATTCACAAGAGTGTAGAGCGGTCAGGCCAAAAACAAGGTGGCACCGCGCGAACAGAGTTGCTTCTTCTGCGGTGTCGGACCATAAGACTCACGAGTGAGGTAGACGGAGAATAGGTCACCGGTGCCCCCGAACTGCTCTTGCAACAGCTGCACGAAGGTGGAGTGCTGCGACGGGCTGGTGTTTTGAGTCGTGGAGATGGACGGGAAGGCTAGGCCTACGATGCCGTCCGCCTTGAAGCCCTGGATGCGCTGCCCTTGGCGCTTCACCAAGCCCATTTCCACCTTCTCGACCGCCATACCGCCGATGATCATGCTTTCCTTGATCACGCTTCCTTCAACCGAACCGCTGTCGTACCTGTCACGGTGATAAAACGTCCACGTAGTGTCTGTGAGCTTTTCTGTTCTCTGTCAAGAGATGTTTTTCCTTCCGTGACCTCGACGGTCGAGTTGGCTGTCCGCCCTCGCTCCTCTCGTCTCACGTACGCTTTCCACCTCTCTCTGGTATCACCAGATCAATCTGTCAATCCTGTCCACATTGTCCTCCTACACGTGCCCCACATCCATCGTCGTTGCTGAAAGTGAGCACACCTCGCTAATCGCAAGAGTAGGTTGTTCGTAACTCTTCAATCGACTGTCACCCTATAGACTAGCCCTCTAACAAATCTGCTTCAAACTCAACACCATATATTCCAACCTGTTGCTGAAATTTCTGCCCATGGCCACGGCTGTCGAAGACGCGACATCGTCAAACCCTGAATGCAACCCGCAACTTGTGCAACCGACCGCGGGTACCCAAGTGTCGGAGCTCCCAGTGTCAAACAGGATCTTGCAAGAGGTAGCGAAGGGGAAAGGAGCGCCAGCAGAGAAAAGAAGTGACGCCCTTCACGTTTTACAAGAATGGTTCAATGACTCGGAGAAGAAATACAATGTTGGCCTTGTTCGCCACACGTGTTGCCGTGTAGAGGTATCTGGACGATAGTCCTGGGGCTGTGGTTGCCGATGCCTCGAAAGTATCACTAATCGTCCAGCACAGCAGTATCTCTATGGTCTTCTCTACTGGACTGTAGTTTAATTGTTCATACCATAAATATCCAGTGCTAGACTACATGTACACATCATAATTCATCCTGTTTAAAAAGACTTAGCGTCAAGCTTGCAAATCTACGGTGGACGAGCCAGATAATACCTCAACTTTATGTACCATATGTTGGAATTCCCACGTTGTCAACAGCCCACCTTCATGCGTTGTGGAGGGTTCCCGATCATTGCGTCGCCGAAATACTGCACGTTGTCCACGTTTTCGAGGAGCACCCGGTATTGATTCTGTTGCTGCCGGTGTCGATGTTTCCCCTTGCGCCCAAGGCCGGCATCCTGGGTATCCGCTTCGTGGCTCGTAGCCCGACTTGTCACGAAATCTCTCGAGGCAACAACGCCGAAATGTTGATGAGGCGATGCGGCTTCCGTCAGCAACAGGCTACGGTTGTCTTCCGTCTGCTCCGTCACGTCGGGTTGTAGCTGGCGTAGACCAAGCACTCCGCTGGTGGTGGTTCCACCAGTATCGGCACGTAACACAGCTCCGGGTGCCGCTGGTTCTACTGCTATCATACAGCAGACAGCAACGAAGGCTGAGACTGAATGCATCATTCCTTGGAGACGTAGACGTCGTGATGTAACTGGGTCGGAATGTATATGTGCAGCCCGGATTAGAGGCCGAATACAAACATTATCGTTTCCAATCATTGACGGTGTTCCTCTCGTCCTCGTCTGCTGAAGACGCGGCACTTGCTACGAAGCTGTACAGGTGCTTACGCGCACTCCCTGCTGTTACTTTAGTGCTATCCTAAACATGATATCTTTCAAGTTTCTGTACAGTACACTTGTTCTTGACACAGCAGACTATCCAGGCGAGTCGATAGTCGGCTTTCTCGCCCAAAAGGGCCAAAAGAGTCGGCAACAATATCATGAAACGGCGAAAAACGCTTCTGTGGTTGGAACTCTGCCTTTCCTAGTGGAGATCTCCGCAAACTCTAATGCAAGGGATTAAGCACCCACGCGCTGCACGCAACACGGCCGTGGGCGTGATGAACTGCTGCTGTCGACAGCCCTTCACGGCCACCACCGCCGCTCTTCTTTTCCTCTCCAATGCACCATTGGTGTGGTCGTTCTTTTCGCCGGCCGCTACCGCCACGTCTTCATGCTCGAGTTCAAGGTTTTGGGCTGCTGCTCGAGGAAAGCAAGATCAACATGCATTGCGCTCAGCTGGCCCTCGGGCTGCTAGGTGCCGACAATCGCGAGTGAGAGGGGGTGTCACGATGGAGAGACCGAGCGGACAGTTCAACAGGCTGGCGAAGCCCGCGTTCGACCGGGACAACCCTAACGCTGTCCTAGGAGAGGTCAAGGTTCCCGGCCTAGAGCAGGTGTGATGGCATTAATACTTTGTTTATCTCGATGAACAACAGCAGATTATCTTCGCTGCTGCGCAACGCTCGCTATACTCAACAATGATAGACGAAGATCATGAATTGTGTTGCTATGGAATGGGGGTGCTACCGCTGTCCTACGTCTCTTGGTGTGAATGCTCGGTTGAAAGGTCAAGGTTGACCTAGCGGTGTCTCGAAAACTCTGCTGCGTTACTGCTGTACATGCGTTGTTGTGTTCATTGCTACAGCAGTGTTGGGAAGGTGGCCTACACAAAGCACTTGTTGGCGAGGGCCTACCGTGGCATTCGCCCGCCGCTGGTGCTTTGAACACGCTTGTCTTGTTGTTCACACTTGCTGCAGCCCCCAAGATCGATCGCACCTTCGATATTCGTCGATAATGGGTTGGTTGTGTGCGTATTCAATGGCACTAGTAGTCAGGCCAAATGAGTTCGTGTGTGTACCTGTGCCCCATCGACGCATTTTCAACTATCGCAACGAACTGCCGTTGTATCCACTGCTTGCAGCTTCTGTGCAGCCGCGATGCTCATGGAACCGTCGTGTGGGTAGAGGTGCGAGCTCGCAACCGCCGCGAAATGTTGCAGACACAATGACACACGAAGTGCAACAATGGGTACCTACCTGCCTTGCTCATGGACAGAGCCAACGCTTCTGGCTTCGAAGAGTTGGCAAACTATTTTTCCAATTATTTTTTATGTCTTGGAGGCTGACGAGCCTTTTGTCTTCACCCACCTCCGTCAACAACCACCCGGACAACGAACCCTTGTTACCTACATGCGCGCGGCTGCTGCTTCGTCAGGTGTGCATGGTAGCGCAGACCCAGATGTTCCCCAAGCGAGAGGCGATCCAGCAGCTCAAGGACCGCCTGCAGGCCTGGTGCGCGGAGGAGAACAGGCGGGAGCATGAAGGCGTTTCTCTCCAAGAAGGAACTTCGCGAGGTGAATGAAATGGCAGGCAGTCCGCAGTAGGGCAGGGGCCGTAGGCGTACGAAGCGGCACACAGCAGTACCCGTGGCCTGAGAAGTTTCGAAAACGCGGTTCAGTCCTGGACGTGGTGTCCGATCTCTTCCACCTTGGTCTGAATTCAGGTGGCGGCGAGGGTGTGGGTTTTGGATTGTGTGGGGATTTGAAACCGTCGCTGATATATTGAGAGAGCGCCTTGTTCGACAAGCACTCACGCTAGATCGCGTCTATTTACAGGCCTCGTGTCCGCTGTGATTGGGTTGGTTTCCGCTTGTATCCCCACCCTCTAAAACCCCAAAACAAATGTATACCAGCTGGTCACAATGCGGGACGCCACATGGAACACAATGCGGAACCAAAACAAACAACGACGTTGAAAAAACAACGCTTCAACACTGGCGCCATTTTCGTTCGTCAGCGGGTTAGCACGGTCGATGCCAAAGAAGAAAACACACAAACACGCACACACACCAATTTCATGGCATTCAGAAGTGTTTCGTGTTTTCAACCGCACTGAGACTGACGTCTTTTCGTTGGTCAGCCGGTCGGCGCGGTCGATGCTACTATTATATAATAAAAATATATACACACACACTTAAAACATTTCACGGAAACCAACAACCTGGAATGCAACCCCCCCACTCAACGACCCCGATAAAAAGAGGACCGGGCACCCAGGAGGTGGCAAGCGTACGAGTTCATCCCGCTGCCGTCGCGCAACCGCACCCTCGACTCAGAGGTCCTGGGAATGAACGTGGGTCGGCCAGTGAACGACACCCGCTTAGAGGTGACCGTCGACTTTGAG